TTAGGTTTTCAGCTTCTGGATACTTATTGCAAGCTTCAAAAAATGCTAATAACATTGAGCTCTGTACTGACCTGCGATTTAGAACAGTTTCAACTGGATCATCATCATCAAAAAGTACTGATTGCTCATTTTCTAGATGAAAATAGAGTTTCTCCACTGGAGTTGTCTTAAAATGGATTAGAAATGCTAGCAAACGCCATGTAGCTTCACATGCAGAAACATATCTACATAACAATAGAACAGTAAAGATTTAGTATGTAATCAAAACTAATGCAATTTATAAAACATGCCTACAATCTCTATCCAATTAAATACTACCTACAATCGAAGAACTCCTTAATTTCATCTGTAGTATCCTCGCCGTTTTCATCTACATTGGCGCATGCTACAGAATCTGCGCCTTGATTTAAATCATTTTCAATAGTAGCTAGAACACGATTAGGTCCTTTGTTGATATATTTGAACAGGTATTTGATTGACCTTGCTTGAGTACACCATTCCACATTGATGTGAGCTCTATATCGCAATGATAGCTCTCTATTATAAGGCACAACAAAACTGTTGTCAATTTTTAAACCATTCTTCTCAACAAATGCGCCAGTCTTCCTTCTCATATAATGTGAAAGCCTTTGTTGTCAATGGTAGTTCTTTCACAATATTTCTTTGGAAACTGCTTTGAACACTTCCCATGACCATACATGGACTACTTTTGTTAATCACTCCGCAAGGTCCATGTATCATGTTTTGCTTCACTACTTCATACAAAGAAGGATCAGTATCTTTGTCAGGAATCTTAGCAGAAATAACCTTATCAATAGATTCAGCAGTAGACAATTTGTTTTTTTCAGCCATCCATAGTAGAATATGTGCATGTGGAAGACCTCTATTTTGGAATTCAATAGTATACATACCTGTTAATATAAAACAAACCAATCAAAATTACCATAACAATATAAATCAAAGTATAAATACAAAGATTACAAATATAAATTTAACATACTACAAACACTTTTTCCGAAAATGTTCTTTTCAGTGAGATCACTCATGAGGCTGTCTAGCTTAATTTTGAATATCCTACAGAAGATATCTGGTCTATCTTCAGGATTCAACTTTTGCTTCTTTGTATATCTAATTATCTCAGGCCAGTTTGGATTGCAGGTGAAAGTTATAAAAAGATCAGGAAATCCAAAGTGCTTACAGATTGCCATTGCATCCAAATAGTTATTGTTCATATAGCGTGAACCACCGGTAAATGATGCAGGTATCAAAATTCTCTTACCTCTGTTGGATAAATCAGAGTTTCCTTCCTTTTCAGCCTCAACCAGATTCACATACTTGTCTGAACGAAGCTTCTTCTGATTTTTCCTGAAATATCGAAGTCGGCTAGACTCTATCATAGTAAACACATCAACCAGAAACTGTTGATACAATCGTTTAGACCGAATTACGGACTGAGATTCCATTAACCTATCTTGAATCCTATAAGCATAGAATTCTCGCATGCTTATAGTTTTCCGTTTCCGTTTGTTGCCGTCTTCAAAACCGTCTTCAATTCCAGCGGTGAATCCATCCTCACCATATGGAAATAATAATGGATACTGAAGAGCTAGATAACCCACATAGAGTTCACTAATTCTTCTGAGGTTTCCGTGTGTAGTCTCTAATACAATATCTCGTAAATCCATTCCTTCTTGAAAATCTCCCGGAATCAATGCTGCAACTTCTGTGGATGTTGGCATGTTATGTGTTCTAGCATCTTTATTCCTGTTAGCAATGAGAACTAACTTGAAGTTGTCTTCTGGTTGTTGAATATTGTATCTGTCTTTGTAGGAACGGAAAGCTTTCACCATTGGATTACAAAAGTTTAACATCTTCATGAGACATTCAATTAATGCCGGCCTTAACTTGGTCGAGTTAGAGACATTCTTGCTGAAATAGTAGAAAGTGTATAATTAAATATAATGTATGATAAACATATTAACCATCTGTAAAAAATAATGTTAATGGATATTAAAATAGTGCGTAAAGTGTATACCTGATTGATTTCTCTCTGTTGGTTATCTCATTAGCAGTATCATGGATATACAACTGACAGAACTTTGGTTTTTCTTTCCTCTTAGGAATCAAAGAACCAATTAAGTGATAATTTTCACCATGTAGTTGGAATACGGGTGGACCACGACCCTTGTTTATATCGTAATTTATCTTTCCACCAATAGATGTAAAAGAAAACATCATGTTGTAAGCTCTGATATTCTCACGAAAATGGCGACAAATTTCATCATCACTCGAGAAGAGATATATCAAAAATGGAGGAGGTTGGTTAAGTAAGGGTAGCTTCACTTTCCCCTGCAAACAACATATAGTAAACCACAATTTATATGTTGCACTCTTCTTCTTTTTCTGAATCCGTTCATTAAACCACATCTTTGCTTTGCAGTGTATGCATTCATACATCGGATCTCCATCATCATAATATCCTGAGGTAATACAACATTCGACATAATTAAACATTTAGTTCTGATAAGAATATAACTGAAAAAGTATCGATAGAAGTGTAATGTTAGAGACATAACCATTTTCCAATATAACAGGTTTACGTTCATGATCATAATCATCTGCTATAGTATCAGTTCCATTAGGCCTTTCGTTAAACTTAATCCCTTTTATTAAACGTGTCCTGTTATGTCTAGCCTTTCGCTGTCTCTCGAACAAAGATTTAGATAGTTGATTTTTTCTTTGTGTATCAATGATTTTATCAACAGAAGAGTTTCACCACATAATGACTTAGATTGAGAGTTAAGATAACACTAATATGAATTCAACGATAAGAAAAATTAAAACTTAAGTTAAAAAACTTATAATTTGAATAGGATAAAGATACATGACTTCTCTATTCCTTCAATAGTGTGTGAGCTTGTTGCATTCCTGTTTGTATTTTCTGGTGAAAACATATATCAATAAATATTAAATTTAAACAAATGTTATAATTTAATTAATATACATAATTTAGATATTAATACAAATCAGAAATCTTACTGGGACCGATATGTACTGGTTTAGGAAGATCAGAATGAAGCGGTTGTGAAGCAGGATTTGTTCGAGACTTACTAACAACAGATGGTGGCGTCGCATACGTTTGATTCGAGGTTGTCAATTCAGATATATTACTAACAATTGATGTAAGGATCCTATCTGATAATACAATTCAAAAAAAACAATGAGTTAATAATTTAAATAGATTTAATTTATAAATTCATTATACTATTCGTAAATGAAATTATTCTTACTTGGCTGTAAAGGTACAGATTTAGGAATACCAGAATCTAGCCTCCGTGAATTAGGAATTCTTCGAGCTTTGCTAACAACAGATGGGGGTGTCGCATATGTAATATTAGAGGTAGTGGTTTCTTGTCTATTAGTATCACTTGATGATTGGATACCAGTACCATGAATATCATTGCTTGCTAGGTTTAGATCAGGAATTGTTGTATTCCGTTTTGCAATTTTAGGCCGTGACAATTGAGTTTCAGATAAAATTCGACCAAACCTAAGGCCTGAAAACAAATATATATGTTAACATTGAATGTGTAAACAAATTTGCTTAATATATGTAAAAGCAAGAAATAAAAATGGTAGTTGAGATATAGGTAACCCGTTTTTTCAGAAGATGGTGAGCATTGCAAAGGTCTCTTTACAGGTGGCATGTTTTCTTTTTCTAAACTTGGTAATGCTACATGAAGGAAAAAATGAAGAACACACATAAAATATATAAGATAATTCATAAAACGATTTATAAAATATAACATAGTTCACATACACTGTTGATTTTTAGGTGTGTTTGACTGTATAGATAAACAACCAGGATTGCTGACATCTCTAAGAATTTCATCTATGTAAATAAACAAATAAAACAACACACTTTTAAAAGAATGTGAAGTATACAAATTTTGATTAAAGCAAATAATAAATAAAAACTCACTTGAAGTAGATATGTCTAATGTAATCCGACTTGAACTCCTCACAAAATCATTTGAATTGCTTAAATCTCTAAAAATCATATCAAAAGCACCAGAAATAGGCTTTGCTGATTGTGTTTGACTGGTAGATGCGGTCTTCTGTTTTTTTTTAGTTTGGTTCTCATCATTTTCGTATCCATGCCGATTTTTCTTTGAACTATGCATTGCATAAGAAAGTGAACATACATGCAAATAGAGGTAAACGTCAACACGAAGAACGTTATGAAGCGGAAATGTTTATTTATATGAATTAATAGTTGTTTGTTATAAAATTCAAATTAAAGGTGATCCCTTATGAATAGGAAAACAAATATTCTACATTTAAATTCATATATCTAAATCCACAAATATAGATAATAAATATAGAGAAAGAATCAATTTATATGAATTAATAGTTATTTGTTATAACATTCAAACTAAATGTGATCCCTTATGATTAGGAGAACAAATATTCTACATTTAAAATTCATATATCTAAATCCATAATATAGATAATAAATTCAGAGAAAGAATCAATTTAGTTACAAATTGCCAAACTTAAAAGGATAAATATAGTTAAGTAAAGTAAGTAATACTGTTAAAAGATATAAGTTTTAATACATTATCCATATACGTGATAATTGATGACTTTGTTTTCGGTTAGTAGTTATAGGTATTTTTGGATGTATAGATTCGTATAAGTATATATAATTTGTTACAAATTTAGGAAATTTCCATTTAGAAATAAATAATATATAATACATAAAAATTTGATTATAAGCTAATGATGTTTGTATAGTATTTAATATATCAGTGATATTGAATGATGATCATACGATGTTTAAAGAAAAATTATGAAATTACTAAAACGACTTCATACATAAACAAAATACTATCAGTAATGAACGAAATCAAAATATTAATAAATAATAACCATCCGATTACAAAATTTCAATCAAGAAGCAAAGTTCAATAAAAAATAACGATAAAAGAAACAATCATTCAGACGGATAAATGCATAACAAAGTAGTTCCAATAACTGATTTCGGTTCTTAAACACGGCTTCTCTGTTTTCACGGTCTTAAGGGGTAGAGTACTTGGATTAGTCTGAACAGTTTTCTCATCCTTACACTTCTTCTTTGCAGCTGAATACTCATCAGTATCCTTAATCACTTCCAACTTTTCATTGCTTTTGCGTTTAGAAGTAGGTGTAATTTCAGCATCATCATCATCCATAATCATTAGAGGAACCTATAACATATTAAATAATCTATAAGAATGAAAGCAATATATAATAGTAAACATGAATGTAAGAAATCAGAATAAATAAATATACCTTTTCATCAAGAGCATTGTGAGCTTTTTCCTCTATCTTGATACTTGGAGTGCTCTATGAAATGTGAAAGTAATGTATGGTAAGCAATAACGAATTAGTTTATACAGAATAAGTGATATCAAAATGTTATAACTGTACCTGAGGAGTAGAGATTTCAGAAAACTCCTTAACCACATCACTTTGTGTAATTATACTGATGACCTTGTATGTGTCACTATTGAAAACAACATTTGAGCTTGCAATTGCAATCTTGAATAGAAACGTTTTACCACAAATATTGCTCAAAGCTAAGGGCAAGACATCAGGATCCTGAATCTAAACAAAGAGGAATTTAATAAATTTTAAATAGATCAAATAAAATATTGTCATGGACAAATGCAGTATAAATATGAACCTCATTAACAGACTGAGTTAACTGAGCAGCAGATTGGTTTACAACTTCTTTTGCCTCTTGATCAAATAAGAGGAATTTAGTTTCACCAGTATTATCCATGACACGGAAAGTCAACATAAACCTATCATAATTTGAAATAGTATAAGTTAAAATTAATAAAAGGTTAAAACTTTACTATAACACAAATACAATAACAGACTTACGATAGATAAACATTCTCAACATCCTCATTGCATTTTTTGCACTGCCACAATTGTTTCTTAAATGTTTTCCTAGGATACAATTCTTTTAAGTAATCCATATCATGAGGGAGAACCTTTTTAGAACAGGCTCCGCATGACATGTAATACCAACCATACTCAGTGTCAATAGACATAATTGTGGCCATGGTAACACATTTGACAACCTTGGAAAATTAATAATGATATTAGAATCAAATATATTTTATAAAAATTGAACTGACATAATATATAATTACCTCAGAAGCAGCAATAATCTCGCTAATAGTCTTTCGAGGACTATGCAAGAAGAAATCGTCCCTTACTGATACAGAATTGACAATAGTCAACTGATTTGGATGGGTATAGGTCAGAGTTAAACCATCTTTTAGCAATCTGTATAAATTAGATTACATAGTATTTAGAATATAAAACTTGAAAAATAAATAAAATTATGGATATAATTAGTTTTACCTCTCTTTAAAAGCCAAACTCTCTGGAAAGACTGGATCAGTAATGACCATTGAACAGTTGTAGCAATTGCCAACACTCCAAACACCTTGATAAAGTTTTAACTTTCCAAACCGCAAAACAGCAACAATCACAACATCATTTGCATGTTGAGCCACACTTTCAAGATTTTCAGCGAATTGACCCCAAAGAACACAATTAAGTCGAACATTTCTACATTGAAAATGATAAAGGAAATTGAGGAAAAAGGATACTATACACAAATAGTAAATAGAGCATTAGTGATAGATTAGTAATGTAAATGCTAACTCTGTATCACGGATCTCCATAGAAAGCCTCTTTGTCTGTCTCTTTCCAACATTCAAGATCTCCACATCCCCAATGCTCACAATTTGTCCAATAGCATCTAAAGTAAAAGAAATCATGTTAGTACTTTATAATTACGCAAACAAACTATATATCCAATAAATAATTTAGTAATTAAACAAACTTGCCTATCAAGAAATCTGGATTCATTTTGCCTTCGTGAATATCACTAAACTTGACGAACTTGAAACCTAAGATTCTTGGATCCATTTCTTCTGCCGGTTTGACAGATTTAGTTGATGCGAAAAGGATTTTGTAAACGTGAGGGCTGGTCCTGAACTTACCACCGTTATGAGCCACTTGAAAATTTGTGAAAATTCTAGAGGCACCTTCCTCTAACAGATTTTCATTTTTCTTGATGAACTCCTTCTTCAAAGTTACATGCATGGTTTGATTCTGTGTATATATAAAAGAATATGCATACTTTAAAGATACATAGGTTTGAATGAAAATGAAAATAAATGAAAACAGTCGTGAAATATATAGATTAGTACAAAATCTTAAAAGTAACATAGATAGTATACCTTCTCATCAACAACAACCATTTCCAACGTCTCTACACCATTCAAATATTGTTTCCACACCTTCAATATCTTCACGTAAACTCTCCATTGAGTTTTGAAGGGCTTCACGGAATAGAGATCGGTGGAAGAAGACATAATAGCAAGATGAAATTTGATATTCAGAAATTTATTGAAAGGTGAGGGAGGATGAACTATTGGAGAAACGTACACCTATATATATATATATACGGTATTGAGAGAACATGGTAGAGCTAGGTTAAATATTTCAAATTTAGAACTTTCTTCTTGTTAATATAATCCAAGGATCGCGGTTATTTTCGTTTAGGAATAAATATATATTTTCCGCAATTTGAGTAACCAATATGGATGTTTATTAGTTGTTTTAAAATTTTCATAAGGTTTAGGTTGAGGTTTTAAAATTTAGAAATGCATAAATATATAGATACTTACTTAATCCCTTGAAAGTTTAAATTATTGTAAAAGATAGTTTAGAAAAATGATGTAGGAAAATATATACGTTTCGAAAATATAGGAACCAAAAAATTCAATGTAGAATATGCCAAAATATAGATACTTACTTAATCCATTTGATGTTTAAAATATTGTTATTAGTTGTTTAGGAAATACCTCTAAGAAAATATTCATCTTTCGAAATTATAGGAACGAAGGAATTTAATGTAGAATATGCGAAAATATTTGAAAATTTTATTGCAGTTAAACGTGTTTTAGGAAATAACGGTCTGTTTGGCAATAGAGATAGTAGGAAAATTAAAATTATACGAATTAATAATGTAGCTAAATACCAACTTTAATCCTAAAGCTGCCAAGTGTCCAATAGTGACTCCACTTTAATATATTGGAGATTACCAAAAGACATATTTTTTTACTATTTGGTTGAGACAAATGACTGTTTTATCCTTTTGTTTTTTTTTCTCACACAACTCTTATAATTGTTTGTTGTTATTTATCTATTATTTAAAAAATAATCGAATAATTATTTTGACATTATAAATTATATAATTTTTTTCTTAATATTTTGATAACTATTTTATATTTTGTAATTTAAATTATTTTGTCGTTTAGTAATAAACACATACGTATCCATATAGTAGTGTCCACATGGATACACATATATAGATATCTATGCAATTATATAGGTGTATATATATGTATATACATACGTATCCATATAATATTGTACACGTGAACACAAATATATAGATATATGTGCAATTATATAAATATATATATATATATATGCATATCCACGTACCTAGAGTATAGATGGATGTAACTATATAGATATACATGTATGCTTACATATGTATCTATATAATTATATATATATAAACATAATTTTATAAATATATATACATATCTATCTATATATATTGTAGATAGATGTAAGTATATAAATATAAAGTCAAAAAATGGAAAAAGAGGAAAAAAGAAAATGAGGGCAAAAAAATTAAAAAAGAGTAAAATAAGATAAGTTCACTATTTCTAAAAAGTTCATTTTTTTGGCAATTATATTTTCAAAAAGTACACGTAATGGTAATATTTTTATTAAATTTTGGTCAAAAAGTTTTTTAATATATATCAAAAGTGTAGTTTTCAAAAAAAAGTTTATTTTACTAATTCAGAAACTTAGTGTATTTTGCTAATTACCCCTAAAATTTGTAATATTTTTCTTTTTAAAACAATTCAAATCTTTTTTTGTCGTAAAACAATTCAAATCTACTTTCCTATAATCCCTAATAAGATTGACCAAGAAGAACCATAAGATTGTCCCAGAGAAAAAGGAAAAGAAAAAAGAAAATAATAATTCCCTAATATCATAGAGTGATTTTCTTCCAAAACGGTTTCAATTTTTTGTTTTGTTTCCCGAGCTTTTTGCCACACGTCCCGATATTTATCGATACACGAGATATTCTTCTAATTTCATTTTCGTACTCCATTTTTTGGCGTCGTTTTGAATTTCAAAGATTCTTAAAAAAAGCCGCCGCTACACTTTTCGTCTCCTTCTCAATTCCCCCCAAAACACTACTCCCTCTCTCTCCATATATCCCTCTGAAACCCTAGAATCTCGGAAACACATTCCTCTCTCCAACCTAGGGTTTTGAAATCTCTGAAACACCTTTCTCTCCTCTTTTCGGTCACTTTTCTCTCGAAATGGCGCAGCTTCCATGCGACCGCGGCGACGGAGTTTGTTCGCGATGCAAGGCGATTCCCCCGGCGGAGGAATCTCTCACGTGCGGTCTCTGCGGTACGCCTTGGCACGTGCCCTGTCTGTCTTCCCCACCTGAATCCCTTGCCTCCACTCTCCAGTGGCACTGCCCTGACTGTACCGGCGAAGAAGATCCTCTCCCTGTTACCGGAAATGCGGATGGTGGCTCAGATCTCGTAGCGGCGATTCGCGCGATTGAGGCCGATAAGTCCTTGACTGACGAAGCTAAGGCTAAGAAGAGGCAAGAGCTACTGAGCGGTAAATCCGTCGGTGACGAAGACGAGAAGAAGAGTGCGGGTCCAGATTCTGGTGTTTTGGCCGCTCTCGGAGTGAACTTGAAGTGTGCTTTCTGCCTTCAGTTGCCTGAGAGACCCGTCTCGGTTTGTTTCTCTCGATTTTTTCTCATGGATTCTGTTTATTAGTAGATCCCTTGCCTCCTATGCTTGGTAATGGCTTGTGTTTGTGGGTTTTTGTTTTATGTGGTGAATCTGATAAATCTCGAATCTATTGGGTATGATTGCTTTAAAACTCTTTCATGTGTATGATCTAGGGTTTGTGGGTTTTTGGTTATCTGGTGAATATTATAAATCTCGAACCTGTTGGATACTGATTGCTTTAGACCTTTTTTATATGTATGATCTTTGTTGGTTTTTGTTTATCTGGTGAATTTCGAATCTATTCGATATGCTTTAAAACTCCTTTATGAGTATGATCTAGGGTTTGTGGGATTTTGTGAAAATCTCGAATCTATTTGATATGGTGGTTTTTAAACTCCTTTATGTGTATGATCTAGGGTTTGTGGGTTCTTGTTTTTTATCTGGTGAATCTGTTAAATCTCAAATCTATTTGATAGGATTGCTTAATTTCTTTTTTAGTGCTTAATTTTGCTTACCATTTGTGACTAACTGTGTCAATAAAGTCAGTGTTCACATTTATCTATAGATATCGGAATTTGCCATTTCAACCATTTCGTTGTTAATACTTTTGTTGATGGTTGATCTATTCTGTATTTGGGTTTTTGTTGCAGTTTATGCACAAGTTTTTGTTTTTATCAAAAATAAAACATAAGTATTTGCTTCAAGTATTTGATATCGTGAACTTTTTGTATAGTAGGAGTGACAAGACTTTTAACTAGTACCTTTTCGGTTTGCTTCTACTCTATAAAAGAAGTGTATTTAAGTTGGAAACTATTGAGCAGAACTGATGGATATCTTCTATGTGTATTTTCAGATAAATTGCGGGCATAACTTTTGTTTGAAATGTTTTGACAAGTGGATTGGTCAAGGGAATCGGACTTGTGCAAAATGCCGCTGCCTCATTCCTGAAAAAATTGCAAAAAATCCCCGAATTAACTCTTCCCTTGTGGCTGCGATTCGTCTTGCTAAAGTCTCTAAAAGTGCTGCTGCGGGTACTGCAAAAGTTTTTCATTTCATAAGCAACCAAGACAGACCAGAGAAGGCATTTACAACTGATCGCGCGAAGAAAACTGGCAAGGCAAATGCTGCCAGTGGCAGGATATATGTTACGATACCTCCGGATCATTTTGGTCCTATACCAGCGGAAAATGATCCTGTCAGAAACCAAGGTGTTTTGGTTGGAGAATTCTGGGAGGATAGGTTGGAGTGTAGGCAGTGGGGGGCTCACTTCCCACACGTTGCTGGCATTGCTGGACAATCCAATTATGGAGCTCAATCTGTGGCGCTCTCTGGAGGTTATGAAGACGACGAGGACCATGGAGAATGGTTTCTCTACACAGGAAGGTTGGCTTTTTTTCACTACTCCTTGCGTTTGGTCCATTTGAGTATTGTTTCTTGGTTGCTGAATGATCTAGGACTTGTCTCTTATATAATCTTGTATATGTCAGTTCTCTCACATGTATAGTAAAAGACTTCCTATATCTTTTCTGTCTTGAATATGTACGGATGTGTCACACAGTGGTGGAAGAGACCTTAGCGGCAACAAAAGGACTAACAAGGATCAGTCGTTTGACCAGAAGTTCGAAAAGTCAAATGAAGCTTTACGAGTCAGCTGCAAAATGGGTTACCCTGTTCGTGTTGTCAGGTTAGCTGTTATTTGAGTAGAAGTCCATTGCGCTTAACATCTCTCTGACGTTCTCAATTGTTCTCTAACTTTCCTATACGAAAATCTGAATCAGAAAGGTTATATGGAATGCTTTCTTTGTGTTGAAATTGCTTTTTTCGAGTGAATAAGAATAGGTTGTTTGCCATAGAGAGTTAACATGCAGTTCCCCGGATAGACCTTATAATTTCAGATACCTTTTATACTTTTATCTATCTTCATTGATAAACTCTGAGCAGAAAGTGATTTTTCCCATAAATAAACAGGTCTCACAAAGAGAAACGTTCTGCTTATGCCCCTGAGGAAGGAGTGAGATATGATGGGGTTTACAGGATTGAGAAGTGCTGGCGAAAAGTTGGAATACAGGTACGTAACAGCAAACAACCATAATTTCACATGTTCTATTTATGCAGAGCTGGATTCTTTTCCTAACCTATTCTTCTGTTTTCCTTAGGGTTCTTTTAAGGTCTGTCGTTACCTTTTTGTAAGATGTGACAATGAAGCCGCTCCGTGGACTAGGTTTGTTCTACTTCTTGAAAGCGTCTTTTTCTGTGTTTTATATTTGAGTTTAACGCTGTGATATGCGGCAGTGATGAGCATGGAGATCGTCCAAGACCCTTGCCAAACATTCCAGAGCTTAAGATGGCAACAGATGTGTTCGAAAGAAAGGAAAGTCCATCATGGAATTTTGATGTAAGTGTTCAGCTTTTGTGTTTTCCTCTCATAGTTTAGTTCCACTCTCCCAATTGTAACAGTTGGAGTGTGATCAGCTACCATATTTTCTTCTCCCGATTCATTATATGTAATCTCATCCATGTATTTGCTGATACGCTTACTTGATCAGGAAGCTGAAAGTCGTTGGACATGGATGAAGCCTCCACCTGCTAGTAGAAAGGCAGTTAATGTTTTGGATCCTGAGGAGAAGAAGAGAATGAGGACAGCCATTAAGGCGGCACATTCGAATACCGTGCGAGAGAAACTTCTGAAAGGTATGATAACTCTCTCGAAATTTAATGCACCAATTAATAACTTTACTATTGCTTGTGTTCACGTATGTAATTTGCGTGCTTGGAATATTTTCGTGGAAAACTGAATAGTTTTGACAAGAACATCAATCTTCAAGCACAGATTTTGAAACTCTTTTATGGAACTTTGTAGTGTTAAGGAGTTTTGCTTAAGTTTCATGATAACATTGAGGTTTCCTTTGGCTTCTTTACCGTGGCTGACACTTACCATGTTCGCTAGCAAAACATTGACTAAAAAAATTAGCTTATTCATCCAAAAGTTATTTGTTAGCACTTAGCACTTAGCTTGAATTGCAAAGCTTACTCCAGAATCATTATGCATTGTGCTTCCTAAGCTACTTTGACGTTGTCTTTTCCAGAGAATAGAATATAATATAATATGCGTCTAGTACTCATCCTAAGGTTTCCAAAAGGGTTAATCTAATTTGGAATGTTAACATTGATATGATCCACAAACATTAGGCTCTTTCGTATTTATTAGCTATGTTCTGATACTTCTATAATCCATGCATTATATACCTGATGGGTGCAAATATTTTCTCTGCTTCTGCTGGGGGTCCCAAATTCATGCTTTCTTACAAGGACTTTCTTATTAAAAACACACAATGCGTATGGTTGTTCACATCTAAACCGTTGGGTTTTCGTTTGTTGTTGCAGAATTTAGTTGCCAAATCTGCAAGCAAGTAATGAGTCTCCCTGTGACAACACCTTGCGCTCATAACTTCTGCAAGGCATGCCTTGAAGCTAAGTTTGCTGGGAAAACTGTTTTGAGAGAAAGAAGCAGAGGTGGACGGACACTTCGTGCGCAGAAGAACATAATGAACTGCCCTTGCTGCCCAACCGACATTTCTGACTTTGTCCAGAACCCTCAGGTGAACATTCATCTCATCTGTTGTGCTTCTTGTATTGGTCATATGTAGTTAGTATCTGTCTCCCATATCACACTTCTTTCATATACTTATATGAACACAATTACATTTTGCGTTAGTATTGGCTTGGTTGGCTCTGCAAAAATTTAGTAGAAAGCTGGTTCAGTGGTAATAAATTATATGTTCTTTTCACTACAGGTGAACAGAGAAGTAATGGAGGTGATAGAGAAGCTGAAGAACAATGATGAAGGTGAAAGCGCAAGTGTTGATGAAAATGAAGAAAATGGTGAGTCAGAGTCTGCAGAAGAAACTCCAGTTGTGACTGAAGAAGCTGAACCACCGAGTAAAAAAACCAAACTGGACACTGACACAGTTGTTTCTGCGACTGTGGCGTAATCTGGCATATCGAGCCATCAGGTAAAAACAAAGGCAAGTTTTTTTTTTGGGAGCCAAAGACTGAAAAACTCTAGTATCTTATTGGCTGTTTCGGTACACAACAGTTGTGGAACATCCGTATTATGTTTGGTAAATAGTCTCGAACTATAAAACTTAAGAGCTTGTTTTGACAAATATTTATTGCGAGCGTTTCTAAAATCCGTTAGTGTTTTGGGGTTTAATATTTGTTAGATGAAAATGGGTGACCGTACGGAAATCGTAAAAATTAAGTTTATAGATTTTTCATTGTAAAAAAAAGTTAAAAACGTTGGCCAATTAACATGGGCGACCAAGATTCCGTAGTCACCACAAACGCCACAAATTGATGAAACAGCAGCGTTTGCCATCATAACTCCTATACCCCAAGTTTCCTTTTTGTCATTATGGTCTTATATTTGTCTCCCAAAATGATGAAATTTCACCTCCAGACCAGCACGAAGCACAATGTTCCTCACATTGACCGGTTGAGTTCGTTATGTTATGCATTGTGGAGAATTTGTCTTTGGAAATCTGGCTAGATAAACATATAATTTCTTCTACATTAGTTGGCAATGCAACTCAGCTTTAAGTTATACTTTTCTTTTAATATGATTCATGGATGCTATGTGTTTTCGACATCATGCAGAAGTTTCCCTTGCGTAGTGGTGGACTCTCTCTGATGAGTCATTTGCCAAGATTTTTATATGGTTGCCTGATTTAAATTGATACTTTGAGACCGGACGGCTCTTGCTACCATCCTCACAATTTGGCGGTCCACCGGCGAATCTTGGCTAGCATCGCGTAAAAGTGTTGTTTCTATGGATCAACGGATTAACATTAAGTCATTAACTACAATTGATTAAAATTAGCAAGTGGACAGTATTTTTAAAAAAATAATGCATAAAGGATATATAAAAAGAACACAAATTACGTAATAAACAAAGACCAAAGACCAGGAGACCGAGTACGGGAAATACTTAATAATTAATGACTTTTCTAAAACAAAGACTTTAATCAAAAAATACTTATAATAATATCAAAAAACTTAGCTGTATTATTATTGTAGATATTATTATCATATATATAAAAGGGAGGAGATCACCGAGAAGGAGAAGAAAATATACCACAAAACTAACAAAAATGTCTCAGTAGCAAAAATGAGTTCCGTTGGTGTATTTCGTGAGGAAGAAATGGATGGAAAGCCATTTCACATATATTCCATATATTCCGGTGAATCAGCCATTGATTCCGGTGATCTCGACCTCCCTCCTCTTCAGCCTCTTTTCCTCTGTCCTTCTTGACGTAACAAAGATCAATGGAGGAACAATCCAGGTGATGATGAATTTCTCCCTTACAAGACTTCCCCTCACTTCCACAGCACTGATCTAGTCCAGCAGCATTTGCTTGATTCTGACCGCCATGATGATATCTGTAAGCTCCCTGTTGTCCCTATCATTTGGTGCAACAATAAAGAACCTGATTATGCTCAGTTCCATTGTGGTGCATGCAACAAATCAATGCTTGGCACAGACTACTATCTCTGCCTAAGTACATGTGGTTGAATGTTCCACAAAGAATGTGTGGAATCTCCAATTGAGATCAAACACCCTTCCTATCCCTTCCTTTCTCTCCAACTACTTTATAATAAATTCAAGCTTCTCAGCAACCCATTCTAATGCATGTGTTGCAAATTAAAAGCTCTTTTTCATGATGTATCATTGTCCCACCTACAAACTTAGTATGCATCCCGTTTGTGCGTTGAAACCAAAACCCACTGTTATAGACCACCCAAAAAGCCATCCCCACCAACTCACGTTTTTCCCCAAACAAGCTTCCTTACTTTGCGATGTTTGTGGCCTCACTGAAATTTTTTCTCCCACTTATGTTTGTACTTGATGTGTCTTCGTAGTTCATCAATTTTGTATATATATCCCACATGTCATAAAAATATCTCGTCACCACCACCGTATCTCTTTTATCCCTTCTCTTCCATCCGGAAAATGGTCTTGCGGAGTTTGTTGTAAAAAGATTGAAAACAGTTGTGGTGGGTATAATTGCTACAAATGTAGTGACTATTTTGTTCATACAAGATGTGCTCTGCGGAGTGACGTGTGGGATGGAGTGGATCTCGAAGGAGTACCTGAGGAACCTGATATAGTTGTCAAGCCATTCGAGATGATTGCTGATGGAAATATACGCCATTTTCACATGACCATCATCTAAAACTCGAGACCAGCAGAGATTACGACGAATACAAGTTTTGTCAAGGGTGCATCTCTCCAATCTACGAGGGTAATATTAGTTCGGCCCAAGTAAAACCGCAGCGGTGTGAGCTTAGACTCCACAAAAATTGTCCAAATAAAAATCAGGTTACGCGGTCCAAACCCGCGTGGAAGTTGGGCTTTTGTAGGTCGGGTCAGAGCGGATCCGCGGGTTTGCGGACCAACCCGTAGAATTTGATGTTTTCTTGTAAAGTTCGAAAAGTGAAGTATTTTGTCATTTTTGATTAGTGGATTTCGAAGTAGTAGTTTCATAGAGTGAATCGAAGCTTAGTAGAGTCATACAATTCAGCTATTGGGCTTTGTGATAGCTTCATTTCAATGAGATTAAAGAATCATCAAACTGGTATGTGTTTTATATTTGATTCAGATTCTGTGATTGAATTTTTGAATTTGGAAGAAAATTTGGTCATTGTCTTCCCAGCTAAAAACTAGTATTTTTTTTAGAATTTTAATTTCAGCTTAATGTCATAAGTTTGCTTTTTTTTGTTGGTTTTGTTCATCGACTATATCACGGACGTGGTTTTTATTTTGTCCGCAGTGATGCAAAGATAATTTAGAATCGTTTAAATCTTGAATTGACAATAAATAAGTTTGCTTGAGAATCACATTGTTTGTACGCTGGACTAACAAATAAGCTTTGTTCATCTTTTTTTTTTTTTATTTTATATGTGAATGTCTTGTTGCTTGTATCTTGATGGTTATCTAGCTTAAATTACTAGTTTTGATGTGTATCATTATTTGTAATTCTTTTATTTGGTTTTCAAAACTAAATGTCTATTTTTACCGTTAAATTGATTTTTCAAATTTTATGGCATTTTAGGGTTAGAAGTTTTGTATAAAAGGCCTATCAAATTCATTTGTTTGTTCATCGAATTTACTTAGACAAGAATTTTCTTTAGTTTTGTTTTTTATGCATATTGTGATTCAGTTACGAGCAAAACTTTATTCTCCTCTTGCAGATTTTGTGGTTCTATAAGTTTAAATGTTATAAGAACTTTAAGATAAAAAAGAAAGTATGAACTCGCAGACCAGCCCGTAAAACTGTAGAATATAGGCAGATCGGATTTGGACACATCAATTTAGGACCACAGCTTATGATGGATCAACTCATTAGACCTGAAAAAAATTAAACCGGCATTGGGTCGGGCTACTTAAACTCAGATTGACCCGTTTGACATCTCTTACGCATGGGTACACCTCGGGTTACTAACTCATCCAGTCATCATCCATATATTAAAAATGCAAAAATATTCTTCTTAAATAAATAAAAAATCCAAGATCAACTTTAATCTTTCCCTATGTTTAAATTGCAACCTAAACTTTCATTCAATAAAAAACTATTATCTTATCTGGGCGTTTACACTTTTAATTTTATAACGGAAATCTAAACTATACAATTTCGATGTACAGAATAAAATACATTTTTGAATTTTTTTTAAAATCCAATATGTGATGATCTCTTAAGGCTTTTGTCATTTTCATTCTCGACCTTTCGTCTGAACTCTGAAGGCTTTTGTCATTTTCATCCACGACCTACGTCTTTCCATTTTTACAGAGCCGATAATGTGACTTCTACTCTCGGTTTCTTGTTCATGTTTTAAAAGAGTTAAATATCATGGTTTTATATCTTTGAGTTGCGCCTCTTTAATTTAACTCGTTATTTTACATTTGTTTCTGATATCTTCTTATTCATATCTAACAGATATTAGTTACACGCATAATACTTTAAATAAAATGTAAATAAAATAAAAAATACGATAAATAGACATAATCTTTCGATTTTCCTTTTAGATGGTTATGAATCTTATGATAGTGATAAAAAGCACAATTTAAAAGATTTGACTTAAATGTGATAAGGAGTTATATGTGAAAATGTGCAAAACAGAGAGAGCGTTACAACAAAGAGAAACTCTCCAAAGCAAATAATTACGATAAACAAACACAACTCTCTGAACTATTGCTTTGGGATAGTCAAAACGAAACACATTCCGATCCTTTGTTTTCATTTGAATTTAGATAAACTTGTCTTACCGTGTTAGTTGTTACAAAAGCACAAAAATACACACTAGTCACAAAACGTGACGTGAGAATTTAATATAAACAATTTACAAATCCAACAACTAGAATTATAGAACTCAACAACCCTAGAAAACTTCTAATCTCACATTCTCTCCCTATACAAAAGATAATTGGATTTGGATTTTGCGTGTTATCAAATATTGTCAAGTCATCGTGTTAACCGGAGAGTGCCTCCTAACTCTACCGGAACCAATGGAATAAGTGAGTGAAGAACATCGGTTATCAGCGGTCGGTAACTTGGTTCTGGCTGCACACACAGCATAGCCATGGCTGCTACCTGCGAAAACAAAATTAACAGTCTTGATTTAACGCCATGGAAGGCATCTGCAACCTCACCGGTCTACATCGGTTGATCCAAAACCATCAAATCAAATCAAATCTAATGAAATGTCATTTCCAACATTCTAGTTAATAACCGGTTCTATCTTAAACCAAACCTGGTATAAGTGCTTAAGATCCATTGTATCTTTTATAACCGGATCCACGATGTTTGGAAGCTTCGATCTATCGGTAAGTTGTGGCATTGCCTGCACCCATCAACACATCTATAAATCATTAACCGGTTCAAAACCAACACAATTTTGTAGATCTTCTTGAACCGGATAAATAAATTACCCAAGTCACAAGAGATTGGCACTGAGATGGACTCAATTTCTCAACCGGCCGTCTACCCAACAAGAGTTCAAGAAGAACCACCCCAAATGCATAAACATCACTCTTATCCGTCAACTTTCCTGCATAACATACACACACACACACACACAAAGAAACAGAAATTTCATCAAAACCAGTTTTTCAGTCCAATTATTTAAGCTGAAATGTAATCAAACCAATGGTTCCGGTTTAATTGATTGAATTGTTCAACACAATAGTAAGATATGAGAACGAGTCAGGTAAAAAAGAGACAAAGAACATGTTACCGTCTAAGAGATATTCTGGGGCAACATAACCAAGTGTCCCAGAGAGTTTAATGTTGTTCTTGCCATGCACACCAACCGAAACCGCAAGACCAAAATCTGAAATCTGCATTGTTGCAAAATCAAAGAAATGTAACACAAAAACCAGCACAATATCAGAACCAAATAATGATTCGATACTTTGGTAGAGCGCAATGAAAATGAAACAAGAACCAAAATCTAGCCTCTAGGACTAAGATTCGGTTCAGAGCCAGAACCGGTTCTTTTTTTTTTTTTTTTGAACGGCAAGCCAGAACCGGTTCTAATCAGCAACATTTTTAAACAAGTATTTACCTTGGCGTTAAAGGAAGAATCAAGAAGAATATTAGACGACTTCAAATCCCTGTGGATAACTGGTGGACGACAATGCTCATGGAGATACTCTAGTCCTCTGCAGATGGTCAAACAGAGCAAAAAACCGGTTTAGTAGTTTATAGAGATAAAATCCGAGATTAACCAATTAGAGAACCGGTCTAGGAGCTGAAAGTGTCGGCTATTTATTTATACCTAGCTGTATCAAGAGCAATCTTCATACGCATATGCCATGTTAGAGCTGATCCACAAGAAGGTCCTAAGACATTAATTATAAAGATAGAAACATTAAATTATAATCATTTCAAATTCAAGTGGACACATGATCTGTTTAATTTATATACTTTCTATCAATTTTTTATAAATATACAAATATAACTCTTTGAGTCAAACAAGATCATAATTAGGGTTTCAGAACATGTTTTTACCATGCAACTGATCATCTAAGGATCCTTTCTCCATCAGTTCATAAACGATGTAACTCGAGTTGGTTTCACTGGCAGAGCCCAACAATGAGATAATGTTCGAGTGGTTGATCTTTCTCAACAACTCAACTTCATTCTGATGATCTCCAAGAATCAAACACTCAAGAACAAAGATACCAAAGAATCAAGAACCTGAAACAGGACTTAAACTTACCTGAAACTCGCGTTTTGCTTCTTGGCAAACGTTTTCGATCTTTTTAACCGCTGCTTTTGTGTTGCTGTCCAAAGAAGCCTTGTAAACGCATCCGAAACCGCCTTGTCCGATTACATTACTGTCTTTGAAACCACCTGTTGCTTTCTCTAGCGTCTTGGAATCGAAACACTGCACGTTACCTTTATTGATAGATGTTTTCCTCTGAGTCTTGATTGAGCTTAGTCGTCTCATAAACATGGAAAATGAATTTCCAGTCTCAGCATCTTCAGTCAAACCATTTGAAAAAGATCAGTACATAGTCATAAACAAACTTGAAATTGATAACAATCAATGAACTTCCATTTGAATTAACAAAATCTCAAAGAAAAATGAAGTAAGTTGAGATCATCAAGAATCAATGAAATTACCTGTATTCTTGATGGATTTGGGAGATTTCTTGCGCCGATAAACCCAGAAACCGAAACAGAAAAGGATTATAAGGCCAAGAGAAGAAGAGCTGATTATGAGACCAATCAGAAGTTTCTTATGAGCATTTAATCTGTGTTCTTCGCCACTTCCCATTTGAATTCCTAACACATAAAAACAAAAACAAAAAACACAAAGAAAAACCCAGAAAGCTTCTTAATTTCTCAAGCTAATATTGAGTATGAATCAAACCCATGTTTCGAAATTCCAGGAAGGATTCACATAAGAGGCGGGTTTTTTTTTTCTTACAATAAAAAGCAAAAAGAGACAAGGAATGAGTAGCACATAAATAGCATTTAATTATCAATTAAAAAAACAATTTTGGTTTTGGTTTTCGAAATTCAAGGACGCACAGATCAAATCCAGAAACCCAGAAATTAAAAAACATAAATGAAGTCAACGAAGTGGTGCTAACAAGAACACTATCGCATTAATAATTTCAGAAATTCGAGCTAATAATCTACATTAATTATTGAAATTAAAAAGCACAACTAAAGTTCAGAAATTCGAGCTAATAATCAACAAAGAAATGGATCGGTTGAACAAAACGAAAAAAGAAAATACCAGGAGAGAAAGTAGCCATGGAAGTGTAAACAAGAGCTATAGAAGAAGAAGAAACAGTAAGGAACTGAGTAACAGCTATCTTGACAAGAAACAGAAATTGTAGATGAAGAATTTTCTTCATTTTCTTTTTGTTTTGTTTTTATTTATTTATTTTTTTGCTAAGAAAAAAAGAGTTTCGAATCGATTCACTTTAAAGACTTTTTGGGGTTTTGAGATTCTCTCAGAAAGCGAAGAGTGAACGAACTATCGCTTTCTTTCTCAGCTGTCTATTTCTCACTCGCTGTCTTCTTGAAATCACTTTTATGATTTGCATAAAGGAGGGAAAGAGAAAGAATTTTTTTATAAGTTGTGTTCTCATTTTTTGACCATTAATAGAGGTTTACTACTGAAAACTAAACTCAATTGTTAATTAATTTTTAAACTGTTGAGAAAATGTTTTTGAAGTCATTTATAAAAAATGGTGAAAATGTAAGAGTAGTAATACGGTAACTATCACAGAACACAACACAAAGATTTTCTCTTCAAGAATATTTCACTAGTAAATCTGTTTGTAACTTACAAGTATACAGAACCCGATTTAGAGCAATCTTAAGACACACCTTGATTTGCTACACTAGTCTCACTTGTTCTTGAATCGATACGTGATTCAAGAACCTCTCACCCAAATCCCTTAGCATACTAGCTCACAAAAACTCTCACAGATTTTCGCTCACCCTTTGCTAAGTATTCTCTCAGTTGTGTTAAAAACCCTACAAGGTTTTTTACACGCCTATTTATACATAATAGGACTTGCGGCTACTCCTCGTCTAGATCCTCTTTGTGTTTTCTCCAAATCTTCATGAGAATCTTCACTTTCCTTATCTTCTCCTAAGATAGAGGAAACTTGATATTTTCTTCAAAGATCCTCCAAGATACTCCAAGCTTCCTATCCACGTCAGCTTCTCGTCTCTTGAAGTGTCCAGCACGTCCTGCAGCTCCAGCTCAGCTTCCAGCTCACCTCCACGTGTGTAGATTGCTTCGCAAGTCTTCCCGTGTCAGTTCCAGAGCTAGCCGGACTGCTACACGTGCTACTCCAGCCTTGTTTGCATCTTCAATCTCCCCCTTTTTAGCATATGTGCTTCACAAGTACCTGTCCAAGAAATCGAGACCAAACAAGCAACAAACAACATACTACGAGCCACACATGATTCTGGGAATGCTTCCGATTAAACAAAAGAACTCCAAGAAACCAATGGAGTGTCAAGTCTTAACATCAACGAGTTCAAGGAGATAAAAGATAAAACACAATGTCTTTAAAAAAAACCTCTCCTTACTCCCCCAGAATTCTACAAACCCCCAAAATAAACCAAAAACTCCCCATAGTTCATGCATCCACCGATTTCAATCTTCTCTCCCTGCTTGTGAGCACAGATGTTAAAAATAATCGATGAGCAAACACAATTTGAAAGTTCAGATAAGGTCTAAGTGGGTTTACCTGTGACTGCAGCGCGTAGCATGGCCGTTACTACCCCGAGTTGCTCAAGAACTGACGCCACATCTTCAAGGGCTGTCCTGATTCCCTCTGCATCGGCTGGAGCCTCAGGCACTCGAATCACTCCTAGACTCACGCTGTTGACTCCTCCAGTTGGTATGTCCGGTTGGGCAGCGGTTGTTGAATGCGGATTCGAGATAGAGGGACGCGATGTCGACGCAACTCCAGTTCTCTTTCTTGCCTCTTTCTTTCGTTTCTCCTTGGCCTTTTCCTCGGTAACTGCAGCAGCGGCTTCCTTCTTGAGAAAGGTTTCCCCACTTCGTGGATCCTTCTTGTATTTGGTTGGGAAGATCCACATTTCACCTTCTTCGAGCTGCAGAATGAGCTGCCTCTTGATGACCTTGCTGATGAGACAGGGAAACATCAACCATCGTCTATCCCCCTTGATGACCTTGCTCAGATCGAGCATTTTCTGGAAGATCATCCGCCCAATGTCTACATTGATTCCGTGTGCCAGTTTATAGACCAACCTTGCTCGTTCCTCAGAGATGTGGTGCTTATTCGTTGAAGGGACCCAGTTGTAGGATGCGATGACCATCAGTGCAGCTATCCGTGGAGGAAAATCTCTCGAGGTTAATTCAGACCATGTTGAATGATGCCCTTGAGACAGATATCTTGATACCTCAGAGATTGGCACAAGATCTGCCTCAGTCTCCTTTTTTCTTTCTGCTTCAGTCAGTGGCTCGCGGCGTAAGGTCTCGTTGATGATTCCTGGAGAAATTCGGACTTTAGCCCCCCTGGTTCTCACTATGAAGACCTGAGATGGATCACTCGGTGACTCTGATGGTAGCCCTGCATAGAACTTTTGCACCACCTTGCTCATGTACGGCTCAAGTTCTGTCACCATCCACTGCATTCCGTTCTCACGAAGTACCTCAAGGTACTTCCATTCATCTTCTTTGTCCACATCTACAACTCGTTCGCACCAGATGTGACGATCCTTGAACACCTGGAATCGTTCATCAGACACCACCCTCTTTTTGCTCCTGAGGTTGGCCTTCTTCTTCTTCTGTTTGACATGACTCGATTCAGCTTCTGGGCAAGGAGCGGCTGGAGTTGATTCAGCTCTTGGTTCTGAGGCTTCAGCGGATGTGGTTCTTTTCTTTTCTTTCCGAGCTCGCTTGGCAGTAGGAACTGTCACCATGGCCAATCTCCACTTCCTTCTGACCTCGTCGATTTGCTCCTGAACCGACATCTCCTCTGGCCGCTCGTCTGTCTCAGATGGCAGACCTCTTCCTTCTTCATTCTCAGACATCACCCTTTCGTTGTCCTCGGGCTCAGCCTCTATTCGGATCTCCGATGCGGCTTCTCTATCCTCCCTCAGTTGATCGGCTCCTTGCGTTTCAGTTTCGGCTCGAGGGCTTTCTTTGTTTTCTGCTTTGGGCTCATTCGAACCATCGTGTTCCTCCTCTTGTGCCACCGATTCATCCTGAGCTTCGTCGGGAAGCGGAATCTCTTCTCCAAGATCCTCCGGTGATTTGGCTGATGAGTCTCCACCTTCGTCTGCAGTGGCGAATGATTCACTCTCGCTTCCGGTCCCCTTCCCTGTTCCAGACTTCTCTTCGCTCTAAATCACGGGTGGATTCTGTTCTTCACCACTCGATCCATCGATTAGATGAGGAGACGAAGTATCACCTGTTGCATGTGCCATCTTTGACTTCGATTTCTTTCTAATGAGCCCCCTTCGTGTTGCAGACACCATTTTATTTGCAGATCTAGGCTGAGATGCTTCGAATTGGGTCACACAAGTTCTTCGCACCTAGGGTTTTGGATCAATTCAATGTAGCGTCTCTTCCTCTTCCTCCTCCGCAAATATAGCCACATCAATTTCCCTCTCCTTTATTTGATTTTCCTTTTTCCTCATGGGCTGCTGTTGGGCCTTCCTGCTTTAGCATCATTTGTCCATGGCCCACTTCCTGTTTAACCATGATAAGTCTTTTTTCTAGCACAAGAACATCCATTAGTACACCACAAGGAACACGACAGTCATTGACACATTTAAACCGAAGAATTTGTGATGGCTAACATGAGTAGTAACCGTTCACCTCATCACACCTCAACTAGGTTTTGAAAACAGTTTTTGAGATTAGCTTATTTACCCAGATTCACAGATGACACATAAGCTGATTCAGCACATGACTCGAATGATCACTCTGCTTTTTCTTGATTCTTTGTGCCTTGCCAGGTTTGATGCTGAGACTAGCTCTCACACTTTCTTGTCTTTATCACGCTCTTCATCAGTTTTCAACCTTTATTCAGCAAGAGAGAACCTTAGGTACTTGTCACAGTGAATTTTTTATTGGATACACTGTGACTTGGCAGCTTCCTTTCTTTTTCTGCCTTGGGTTTTTCTTTGAGCTTTGGACAAGTCTTCTTTTTGATGTAGGACCTGTCTCTGAAGTACAGATTATCCTGCAGCTCAGCCTTATCATTGCGGTTTCTCAAAGACCGACTTACATTGCTTTCAGGCTGTTTGGTTCTCTCTGTGAAACCTGTACTAATGTCAAGACATGACGACAAGATAGGTAGCTCTTTTTCTCCGACCTTTAACCCTCAAGGCTGAATCGAAACGTTATGTTCATCTTGAGCCTGTACCTGTATCAGTTCTGCACATCTCAAAGCTCTTGTTAAATTCCACAAACACCAATTGCATTTCTTAAAGTGACAAAACGATTAAAGTCCAGTGGTTTTGTGAATAAATCAGCCAGTTGAGATTCAGTGACAACATGCTCGATCACTACCTGTTTTCCTTCCACTAACTCACGGATAAAGTGGTGTCTTATGTCGATGTGTTTGGTCCTTGAGTGTTGTACTGGATTCTTGGAAATGCTTATAGCACTCTTGTTATCACAGTACACAAGAAGTGGACCTGAATCCATTCCATAGTCAGCAGACATCTGCTTCATCCACAGTAGTTGGCTACAACATCTCCCCATGGCAATGTATTCTGCTTCAGCAGTGGAGAGGGACACTGAGTTTTGCTTTTTGCTGAGCCACGAGAATGAGGTTGTTTCCGAGAAAGAAACACCCACCACTTGTGCTTTTCCTGTCATCAGCACTTCCTGTCCAATCTGCATCACAGTATCCCACTAGGTTCTGATTCGATCCATTCGAGTACCAGATGCCTAACTCAACTGTGCCCTTGACGTACTTGATGATCCTCTTTACCGCCTCAAGATGAGATTGCTTAGGTTTAGCTTGGTACCTAGCACAGATGCCAACACTTAGGCACAGGTCCGGTCTGCTCGCTGTGAGATAGAGGAGACTCCCAATCATTCCTCTATACAAGGTTGGATCAACACTTGTTCCCTCATCATCTCGCGTGAGGCTGGTGGTTGTGCTCATTGGGATCTTTGATTCTTTGGCTGAATCAAGCTTGAACCCCTTCAAGAGATTTCTGGCATAGGTGCTTTGTGATATGAAAACGCCTTCCTCAGATTGAGTGATCTGAAGTCTCAAAAAGTACTTGAGCTCTCCCACCATACTCATCTCAAACTCACTCGTCATGCTTGCAACAAAAGCATCAACTAGCTCTTGAGAGGTCCCTCCGAAAATTATGTCGTCCACATAAATCTGAACAACCATAATCTTATCTTTCTTCTCTAG